AGTGAATCTAAAAGCAGTCATAAGTTTCAGAGAAACAAAAGTGAAACCTCGTTACTGTCTACACAGTAAAACACGAGGGAAACAGAGTCAGAAAGCAATTTGGCATTTCAGTACCTTGTTTTCACTCTTTATGTTGTATATGATTGTGTGAGAATTAGAAATACATATATTTTTTTAAACACAGAGTTTGGTAGCTGATTAGTTTGGCATATATATTGAATGTCACGGATTTGTATTATTTAGGAATGCTGAAACATATTTGCCAGAATTTGTGCTATGCAGATTTATTTTTCATAAAAAATATTTATCTTTGTTATAAACCAATAGATTTCCTGACTGACATTAACGTATATTAAGTAAGATCTTTGCATAATGAATACTTCAGTTTGATACAACTTTGCACATGAAGTGACTAGTGGTAGCTTTATTTCTGGATTACTAATTTTGCACCAGAGAAGTATATAGATGATATATTGGTGAAAAATTGTGAAATTCTTTTCTTTGGGATTGATATCTTTTCCTAATAAATTTTTGACTATAGTATATATATATGAACATATATATATATACATACACACACACACACACATATATATATATATATATGGAACAAAGTAAGAGATAAATCTTATTTCATTTTTTTAGAAGTATTTTATTTATTCATTGGACAGACAGAGATCACAAGTAGGCAGAGAGGCAGGCAGAGAGAGAGGATGAAGCAGGCTCCACGCTGAACAGAGAGCCCGATGTGGGGCTCGATCCCAGGACCCTGGGATCGTGACCTGAGCCAAAGGCAGAGGCTTTAACCCACTGAGCCACCCAGGTGCCCCTGTTATTTCATTTTTGACTATGGAGTACATATATCTATATATGTTATGTATAAATAGATAGATCTAGAATGAAGTAAGAGATTAATATGTTATTTCATAAATAAAATTTCAGTCAACAATATCCTTAATCTTTATTTTTCTCTAGGATATGTATAAAACTTCGATGATATCTATGTATGTTTGTAATGTTATCATTGAAAGCAAAATACAGCTTTAAGAAAAAAAATTTCAAGCAGAACCCAAGCTATTGAAACACTATATCGATATCAGAATTTCTGGTTATTTTAATTTTATATTGATTGACAGGCACAGAACACATACTTATGGATTTGAATAATTGGGCTTCAGTAACTGGTCAGTTCTGAGAACACTCTTAAATGATAGTAGAAATTAGAAACCAGATGCTTTTCCAAGAAGCCAGAGATCCTGTACTTTTCTAGTGGATTTAAAGCTCTTTTGGTCATTGTATATTAGGATATGGGCATCCATCCCGTCCCATAATGATAAACTACGATGTGTGGTGACCAAGTGTGATGCAAGGGAAATAAGGAGGTCTGTTGGTCCCAAACACCTGTCATTCATAGCCTTAGAGGGCTCTCGGGTTAGCTCAGAGGTCTGCAACTCTTAAGTTGCCAAACTCTAGGCGTATTAGTTTGGAGGATGTGACAATATGTGTCCTGGAGGAAAAGTTCTTTAACTATGTAAGCTAAATAATGAAGGCATGCCTAGGCGGCTCAGTCGGTGAAGCGGCTGCCTTCGGCTCAGGTCATAATCCCAGGGTCCTGGGATCGAGTCCCACTTGGGGCTCCCTGCTTGATGGAGAGCCTGCTTCTCCCTCTCTGTCTGCCTACTGCTCCTCCTGCTTGTGCTCTCTCTCTCTCTCTCTGACAAATAAATATATAAAATAAGAAAAAATGTTAAACAATTAAGATTCAGATCAAATTGATCTGACTGTCCCGATGGAGTTCATGGCAGAAAAGAGACTCCCAAAAGAATAGAGGCACAGCACAGTTTCATTTTCACAGGGGAGAGGAAATCAGCTCAGGAAGGGTAACAAGCATATGGCACCGTGCCACTGTGAGATGTACTTTGGAATAATCCAGAGGGACTGGCGCCAGACTGAGGGTGTGGACATTTAACACTGATGATCAACCTTGCCCTCACATTTGTCCTTAGCGATAGAACTCAGTTTGACTACCCGGCCAGTTAAACTCTTTAATTCTTTAGGGCAAACCAAATTTATATTCTATTTAGATTAAAACTCTTCCTCTAGTTTCCATAACTGGAACTACAGTTGATTCCCTCATCTCTCTGTTATACGCCAGCCAGCGGAAAGCCTTGATGTGGAGAGAGCGCTGGAGTCCACCTGGGAGGTCGAGCCTGTAGATGCGGTGCTCCACATGGGGGGAAGGACCAAGAGAAGAAGATGGACAAAGAACAGCCCCCACCATTATCTTGATCCTCTCTTACCATCTGAGAAACCTGTAATAGATCATTTCACCCCCAGAGCCAGCTTTTCCGCACGCGCGCACACACACACACGCGCACACACACACGCGTGCGCGTGTGCGCAAACACCCACACAATGTTGTAATTAATCCACTGGCACCACTACCAAATAAGAATCTTCTTGGGTTAGACTTTGAGGTCAAAGACAAAGAAAATTGCCAAGGAAATATATATGAATAGATATATATTAAGTAAAAGAAAACTACATATTCATGTGTATATTGTTCGTCTACAACTAGAGCCCACCATTCAGTGCAGCCACCTCCTCAGAGCTCAGAAATTTTCTGTCCTTGATGGCATTCTTCCCTGATTCCTCTGTGGATTATGACACTCCAGCCTTAGAAAAGGCTTCACACCCAAATCCGAGGCATCAAAGCAAAATAAAAACAGAACGGTTTTTCTATCAGATTTCACACATCTATAATGGCAAGAATAGATGTGTCCGGAAGATTTGGCCAATCTAGTTTAATGAAAGGAGCTGTGGCTCATAGATCTATCCTAACAAATAGCACTAAATCCAGCTGTCACCCTAATCCTTCGTAGTTCCACAAGTATAACCCATATCTGCCTCCTCCCCCATCCTCATTTCCTCATTCTCTCTCTCTCTCTCTCTCTCACACACACACACACACACTCACACACACAGTCACACGCAGAAAAATCCACGTGTGTACGCAGTGTGTATTTACATGCCAAAACTTCCATTTGAATAAGAAAATCAACCAACAGAAAATAATTCCATTCTCTGTTATTAGTAACTCTCAAGAGCAGCAATAAACAAGAATGAAATTCAGGTATTATTTGCCAGCTAGTATTTTTTTTTTTAAGAACTTATTTATTTATTAGAGAGAGAGAGAGCATGCAGAAGGAGGGACAGTGAGAAAGGGAGAGAGAATCTCAGGCTGACTCCCCACTGCGCTGGGAGCCACACTCAGGACTAAATCTCATCACCCCGAGATCACAACCTGAGCCAAAACTCAAGAGTGGGTCACTCTTGGGTGCGACCCAGGTAGCCCCTTTCCCCAGCTAGTATTATTTGCTTTCTCCCATATGCCAACTCAGAGATGCAGAATTGTGATTTGCGACAGTTAGTTAAATGGGAGCAATGTTCAATGGCATGGACACTCTTTGCAGAGCATATGGGAACGAGCTGTCTTACTGGGGATCGAGTTTGCAGAGTCTCTCCTGCTAGTGTGCCCAAATGCATGTGTCTGTCATTATCACTTGGAAACTTACAAAGATGAAATCTCACTATTTATAATATCTAGTAATAGATAATAATATATCTATGTGGATTTCCTATGTGCGTGGTAATAAGTTAAGATTACATATTGCCAGGCTTTCATCCTAAATCAACAAAAGATAATGGATCTGAGTTTATGTTTTATTTAAGACCTGGGTTTAAAAGAAAATGGTGAGGAGAAATCCGAGAATTATTGTAAGTTATCCCTGAAATGTATCAACTCTAGATACACTCACTGTAGCATGAGTCAAAAAGAATATGATAGAGTTTCAATGGTTCTTGATTGACAAAAAGCATTAAACATGCAAATAGGGAGTGTATTGATATCTTGGCCTATCCTGCTGCTAATTCTTGAACCAATCTGTTTGCCCATTTAAGTCATTTATGCTCTATTTCAAAAAGAGATTGAAACTATTAAAGACTTAAGTTCTACCTTCCATAATAATGGTGAAAGATTTAGACCAGATGAGAGGAAAGAAAACACCACCGCTTCTTATTAAGAACACAGATCTTCCCTGGGTGGGTCACTTCACAAGGAAGATTGGACACCAGAGTTAGAAAATTAAAGAATTTAGGGAGACAGAAAGATTACGGGCAATTTTAAGACTCCATTTCATAGAGATCATGAATTTATAGTCATTAAAATTATGGTGAAGGAATAGGTATGCCTTGATCTGGAAGGATGTCCATATGTTGATAAGTGAAAAAAATGGTTTAAAAACTGTTATGTACGGTGTTTCTTATGTTTAAATCTTGAATCATTTCTTCTGTTTCTTCCTCGAGAGCTTTGGTGTATTTATATGTATGTAGGAAAGACTCGTTAAACATTTGTTATATTAACTAGAGGCAAATAAAATAACTAAGAGACAGGAAGGATTGGGATGACAATGCTCAGTTAAAATAGTTATGCTTTTCCTTCTCTCACTTTTTTTAAAGATTTTATTTATTTATTTAACAGAGGAAGACACAGTGAAAGAAGGAACACAAGCAGGGGGGAGTAGGAGAGGGAGAAGCAGGCTTCCTGCTGTGCAGGCAGCTCGATTCCAGGACCCTGGAATCATGACCTGAAACTAAGGCAGGCCCCTAATGATTGAGCCACCCGGCGCCCCGCCTCTCACTGTTTTGACCATCTTTCTTTTATTTACTAAGAAACACAGTTTGGGTGCACACACGTCTGTCTTTGTCATTTTTCATGTCAATACAGTATGCATAAAAGATTTTACATTGTCTTCTAGAGTAATCATAACATGCTTTTAGAACATCTAAGACAAATGCTTAGCTTGGAAGTATTTTTACATTCTAAAATGGTATTTATGATTATGGCTGAATGAAATTGTTTACTATGTTTGGAGAGAGCATGAAAGTAACACCCTGAGAAATCAATTTTAAAGGTTTAATCTTCTTTTCCTTCTTTATAGGGCTTATTCCACTAGAAGCAAGATGGCTGAACTCAATACACATGTGAATGTCAAGGAAAAGGTATGATATAGTTACATATTGGCTGTAGAAACTCCAAACTGGATAGTCTCTAGCCAGTAAAAAATTCAGTTACAATGGAAGAAGGGAAAAATGGTTTTGGGGTATACGTAGTAAGTTTGACACACTAGAAAACCACTCAACAGAAAGAATCATGAGGGGCATTCGCTGAATGTGTGTTAAGCATATTATTTTCATTTTCTCACTTAATCTTGACCATAACCCCATGAAGTTAATTGTATTGTTATTCTCATTTTACAGAGGGGAGAACTGAAACACTGAAAAGTTACGTAATTAGCCTAAGTTCACATAGCTAGTAAGCTCCAGAGCTGGGATTTGAACCCAGGCAGTACCATTCTACAACTCAAAGTCTTAACCACCATGCTGGGTTACAGCTGAGGGCTAGGGTATTAGTTTACACCTCCAGAGATGGCCTCACAGAGACATGGCCACACCATTACCTAGTGGTCGTGCTGGATAACCTGTAACGTTTCTTTCAACACAGAGGGTTCATGACTCTGAATATCCTCCCTTCTCATTATTTGTTGGTGTCTGATTACACTTCAAAGCCCTTTTTTTTTTTTAGTATTTATTTATTTTATTTTTTTATTTTTTAGTATTTTATTTATTTTATTTATTTGACAGAAAGAGACACAGCGAGAGAGGGAACACAAGCAGGGGGAGTGGAAGAGGGAGAGGCAGGCTCTATTTTCTATTCCAGATAGAAAAGCAAAAGCTCTGGCGGGGGGTGGGAGGTGGTAATTTAACGTGTTTGGAGATCACGTGGTCGGTGTTGCGAGAGTGTGGTGAACAGAGAGGGACGGTAAGGGGAGGTAAGGTCAGCGAGCGCAGCGGGAGTTGGTGTTGGTCGAATATTCACTCTTCGCCTGTGTTCCTGGACCTCCACGGGATCCGTGGGTGGATTCCACAAACTTGCATGAAAAAAAAATGCATTTTCATCTTCACTCACATCCAGATGAAATTTAGCATCGCCTTCAATCCTGAACGCAAGCGGAGAAAAAAGCCCACGGTTGCAGCAGGAATACCTGTGACTTTCACAACTAGAAGTCACAGATGCCTCAAATCAAATTACAGTTGCCACCGATCTCCTGAAATGCGGTTTTTCGATACTTCAGAATGACTGTAGTTACAGGAACTGCCCCTCCATCATCTTATTTTTTTTTAAAGATTTTATTTATTTATTTGACAGATATCACAAGTAGAGAGAGGCAGGCAGAGAGAGAGGGTGGGGAAGCAGGCTCCCTGCTGAGCAGAGAGCCCGATGTGGGGCTTGATCCCAGGACCCTGAGATCATGACCTGAGCCGAAGGCAGAGGCTTAACCCACTGAGCCACTCAGGTGCCCCCCTCCATCATCTTATTTGATGTTAATAGAGGAGCCCAGATAATCCCGTGGCATAGTCTTTTGTTCTAAGTTTATTTCAGTATGAATGGTGGTTTCCTTTCTAATCATATGTATTTTATTTAAAACATTCTAAGAATGACCTCGTAGGCTTCACCAGACCGCCAAAGAGGGTCTGTGCCCCAGAAGGTTTAGAATCTGAGATATGAGCCAGGGAGGGCTTTACTCAAAGGGCAGAAGTCACTGCTGAAAGGTTTCAAGCAGGAGCAGGACTTGTGAGATTTTTTTTTAGAGTTCGCCCTGGCTCCGTGAACGGCTATGCTACCTGTTTTGTAGATCTTCGTATGAAATAACATTCTGAGGACACGGAGGCTTAAGGTGCAGTGACTTGGTCAAAGTCAGACTCTCAGGAAACATGGAGGGGCAGGGTTTCACACCCAGCTGTGTCTGGTTGTAAAGCCTGGCCCCTTTCCACTACACGTCTGCATGCCAGAGCTTTCCACCCAAGTACCTCCAGGGCACAGAAGAACAAACCCGTGAGCCCAGGTCTCTGAGAACGTGGCCAAAACCATTTTCCACAATGTGCAGCGTATTTGGAGTCCTAGGTGTTATCATAGAAATTGATGCAAATTTGTTAGTCGTTGTATTGTGTAATATATTCCATATATCATTTGCATACAAAGTTGTTTTTACTTACTGAGCATTGAGCAAAGAAGAGCAAAACGATGTGCCCCTTTTATAGGAGGGCTTCACATTCTCTGATTGCTCGTCACCTCCTTAGGTGAGACCATGTTTTCCAGTGTGAGAAGCTGGTGCTGACCAAAGTTTGGCCCCTTTCCAAATGGCTGTTGATGGATGCACGGGACAACTCCTAACGTTGGGTTATGGGAAGGAAAAGCACTTTAAAGAACCAGAGTCATAGTAATCGATTCTCTGCAAAGCCTGGCTGGTTGGACAGACTAATATGGTAGGCTCAGCAGAGTGTCTTATTCAAAACACTGGTGGCACCCAGCCAGTGAGGGGATAAAGGGTGATCTGTCAGCGCCCAAACCACAGCGGTACGGGGTGCATCCTCCAGGCACTGGCTTAGGCACCACTTCCATCCACTTGTCATGATCGCTGTCACATACGTGCACGAACATTAACAGTAGACGGTGTTTTTTCCATTGCCCTTCAGTAACTCATCAAAGCGCTGGCATTGTTTTGAAAGACGGTGATATTTAAGTTGTAAATATTATCAATCTGCATGACAATGAAGGTAGAGCTCCTCTAACTCATTCAGTAAGTTCCACCTTCCTACATCAAAAAGGTTGATTTCTCAACTCAATAAAATAAATCACTTAAACAACTGAAAATTCCTGTCTTTATAATTTTACATTTATTTTAGTACATGTATTTCCTTTACTTATTAGCTTTTATGACCTTTTTATTATTAGTTTGTTTCTCAATCTGTCACATGAGCAATGGCATTTTAGTCCTGAGAATTAAAAGTAATCACAACTGTTATATGTCTTAAATTACCAATTACAAGCTTTTAGAGACATGAGAACAGATCCCTGCAGTATTCTTGTAAACACCTAGCCAAGCACAGTGGGAAATTAATACTTAACAAAAGCCTTGTGATGGAATGAGTTCATCAGTGGATCCTCTGTTGGATGAACTGAGAAGGAACAGGTACTTTGGTGAGGAAATAATTTCTGTCCTCAGGCAGCTTTTAGTCCAAAGGAGAAACTAATAACTTAAGGTTTAATATATCTAAGACAACCGAAATTTACAATCGGCACTATCTATGGCTGTTTTATCTTAAAATATCTTTATATTAGTGGATTACAGCTGTAGGGATTTAAACTGGAAGTATCGGTGGACTAAAGTTGAGTCTCCTCAGTGTGACGTACGTCCTCCGAGATCTGACCCCGTCTGCCTTTCTGTCTTATTTATTGCCGCTTCCCCACAGGCTGCTTTCAGTGGCACCATCCTGACCTTGAATGTTCCTGCCTGTGGGCCTTCGCAAAGGCAGTTTTCCTCTGTTTGGGAGATGTCCCCCTCAGGAGCCTGGCCCTCATTCACCTGCCTTTCAGGAGCTCTTTCAGAGGAATATCCGCCCCCCCCCCCCCCCCGTCTTTCCTCCTGCCTCACCTGAATTTTCTTGCCCTCCTGTTCTCCTTTGAGCGTGTGCTTTGTGCACCAAAGTTGTCTTCTCCCCATGCGAAGCCTTGTGCTCCTTGGGGACAGGGATTGGGTCTCTCTTACCTTCATATTCTTGGATTTGACACATAGTTGACCCCCAAATACCACTGGGTAAATGAATGGATAATGAATGAATGAACATGTGTACTTGAGTAGTTAAGTTCTTTAGAGACCACATTTCCCATTCACAATATTTCGCAAAATCTTGAGCCTTCTTGGAAACTGAAATATAGGTTAATGAAATTGTCACCTTATTTTAGTACTCTTTGCTATTAAACAAAGCAAGTTTTAAATTGCTTCTTAAAACAGAAAGTAGGGTTACATAGGTTGACTACTTTGTAGTTCTGCAAAAAAAAGCAGCTTTATAAGATGGTTATCAAATACAGGTGGCCTCAGGAAGTTTTCACCATAGTAAGTGAGTTCCTTTGGTGAGTAAAACTAGTCATATTCTGATGTACCAAAAAAAAAAGGTGGGGGGTGATCCCCACATCTCACTTTGTTAAGGAAAGATACCAGAACAAAATCTTCACGCTAATCAGGGACCTTATATTTTGAACATACTCACTTTTTATAACTCTTTTCTAAATGACATCTTTTTAAAGAAGTTCAGTACCAGAAGGGTAGCTGGGTGGCTCAGTCAGTTAAGCGGCTGCCTTCAGCTCAGGTCTTGGTCCCAGGGTCTTGGGATGGAGCCTGGAGTCTTAGGGCTCCCTGCTCAGTGGGGAGTCTGCTTCTCCCTTTCCTTTGCCCCTCTCCCCACTTGTGCAATCTCTTTTTCTCTCTCTCTCTCTCAAATAAATAAATAAAATCTATAAAAAAGAACAAAAAAATAATAATAAGTTCAGTACTAGAAACTCATGAATGAATTAAGGTTAGGATCTCCGTAATGACTATTATATTATTTCTCACATGAAATTCCAGATTGTCAAGCTGATTTATAAAATTTTGTATGTAATTCTCCACTAAAAAAATTATCAGAACTGGCATAGACAAAAGAAAAATTTTAGTCAGATATTGTCGTGCATTATTATGTATCAGTTTAAGTAGAACGTAATTCAGCAATACAATTTGGTGATGGAAAGCAGAGGGGATCCTTGCTTATAAAGTGTGGTTATGGAATAGTATTTGCCAACTGTCCAGGTATGCACTGATAAGTAATTCCAACGAAGAGTGAACCCTAAGCAACTGAGGGAACCATGTATACTTGGGAAGTGATCTCCAGTGAGGTAAGGTTATGGAATTTAGAGAGAGAGGCAGAGATTATCGGCACCCTAGTTACTAACTAAGCAGTCTGGAACAACTCACCTAACTTCTCTGGGCCTCAGTTTCCTAATCCGTAGATTGGACATGGTATTAATAGCATCTAGCAGAGTCTGCAAATACAATAATAAATTGAGCTTCATGAGCTCTTAATTACGTAAACTCTAAAAGATCTGAGGGGAGCTCATCTATTTA